TTTCGTCAACAAACTCAAGTAATCTCCTTTCCAGAACGAACGTGTACTATCATTTGTGCCTCCTGATGGGAACTTTCGGCTATTATCATATCACATTGCTACACAAAAGTTAGTTTTCATGAGACTTTTGACATACTGGTCATCTTCGTGACTATGCAACGAAGGGCACGGTTTTATTTTCTTTTATGTTTTTTATTTTTTTTTCTTTCAGCATGGTCGCTATACCAATTTACGTTCGACATTCCATAGTGCTGAGAGGAGGAACTGGAAGTCGTCTAGAGATGACGGTTGGACCAAAGCAAAGCATGGGCAAAATCGTGAGTTTTTTAACTTTTGATTAACTGGCAGTTTTTCCTAAAATATGCACCAGTTGTATTGATACCATAACAACAATATTCTCTGGGGTATCTACAGTATCGTTCGATTCAGATACTGGTGCTTTTCCCCTTGACACGCCCCGCCTTCTGCAGCGAACAAGACTGTGTCACTTTGCGCGCCTCTCATAGGCTGGTGGAAGCGTTCGCACTGCTCATGGGCTGGAAGCGTTCACACTGCTGCGGAGCAAGTTGAGAGCTAGGTATTCACCTTCGCAAGAGCGACAAGTAATATTAGTCTGACGTTAGCATGTTGCGAAAATGACATTCGACAACACTTCCGTATCGTTTCCCCTAAACAAGGCTTGGGTTAAGTACGCAAACCGTCAGGACCTCTTTATGCTTTTTTTGCGGGCTTTTCTCCACGCAACTGTGACCGCTTGTGCTGTGAGGCTGAGCCTTAGCGTAGCAAAAGGGACGCAGAAGCGTAGGGGAGTGGCATCCCTCCCCCAAATACGTCAGTGTTTCATTTTCTGCGAAGCATCATCAATAACGTGTTTTACTATTCGGTAGTTTTCTACTTCTGCGTGTTACGAGCTTATGAGGCATTTTTTTTCCACCTCAAAACCCGAATTTGAATCCTTTTTTGGGACAAACGTAGGGGGAGGAGGCATCCGGCTTTGCGACTATGGCAGTTCTCTACTCGTTCATTTCTATCAATTTCCCGCTGTTTGAGACCACGAAGGGAAGAAGCTGGAATGATGTGTGTAGTCGCGCTGCCGCATTCTCGCCTTCTCCCCCCTAGCCCCTCAACAATTTCTGATCATTTTTCTGTCTCCGTGTTGAACGCCGTTATAGTGTATTCTTGCTGGAGATGCTGGGGCGTGTCAGAGGGGTGGATTTGGCGCGCGCCAGCCGTCATCCGCCAACTGTTGCAGCAAGCGACAACAGTTGTGGAAAATGGGCTGGAGTAGCGCCGAATACAACTCCCTGGCACGCTCCAGCGTCAGCAGCGAGACGACTTATTCCTTTCGTGGTCTCAAATAGCGGTACTGTTAAGAATCATAGGGCACGGTCTGGAAAGTCTGGAAAGGGAATGGATCACCGTCACTGTGAAAAGGCGTAGAGGAGCGCGATTAGTCGCGCCGCCGCGTGGCCCTCCCAACCGTGACAGTACCTTTGTCTGCTCATTTTTGACAGTACTTTTGTCTGCTCATTTTTGACAGTACCTTTGTCTGCTCATTTTTCAAACATGTTTCAGTTGGAAGACGTCGTGGTAGAGATGTCAATGCCGAAAGCAGTGTGAATGCAAATCTATGTCAATGCCGAAAGCAGTGTTGAACTGCAATCTGGTGCCTTCACAAGGGAAATGTACGTTCGATCCGTCATCACATTTGCTTCAGTGGACTATAGGCAAGATAGAACTGGGAAAGCCGCCAAATATTAAGGGAACTGTAAGTTGTTCAGTCTTGTAACAAACACGTTCCCTACAAACGGTAGGGCGTATGACGGGACGTGGCTTGGAGCGCAACCAGGGAAGATTTTCCACCAGTTGTAGCGGGCTCAGGATGGCATCATTGGTGGAAGTAGACCGCCTAGCGGCGCTGCAGTCCACGTCCTGTCGTAGCGCCCTGTCGTTTGCAGGGATGATGACTATATGCTTGCCAGGCAGAGGTCATCGTATTTTGTTCAGGTATCCGTCTCTGGAACGACGACTATAGAGACGCCACCGATCTCGTTACGTTTTCGTATCAATCAACTGGCTGTATCCGGGCTCAAAGTAAACCGCCTAGATATGTATGGGGAAAAGTACAAACCTTTCAAAGGTGTCAAATATATCACAAAAGCTGGAAAATTCCAAGTACGGACGTGATACGGTAGAAAATTATGTTTAGGGAAACAGGTGGTCTACAGTACCTTCGCGAACTGCGCGTGAACTTAAATGCATTGTCCCTTTGAATGCACACACCTAGACTTGCCGTAAGCCGACTTAGTTAAAGGATAAAAGGATAAAGTCTTCGCCGTTGATCAATCCCTTTGTGGGATGCGGCACGCATTCTACTTCCATTCAGAATCGTAGTGGCTTATTGAATGCGATGTGGCCTATACAATGACTTGCGGTGGCCAGCCGATGTAGTCAGTGTTTTATCCTCCCAGACGAATCTGGTACCAATTTACCGTCCCCGGAGGGTAGAAGGCTTGGTTGGCCTGGGCGGGTGTCGACCCGGGATTCGAACCCGGCGCCGCGCGAGTGGTAAGCGCGCCACTTGTCACTACACCACCTCCGCCTCAAGCCGACTTAGTTACCCGTGTTTTTAATCTGTACGCCTTTTTCACAATCTCCGGAGTAAGGCCAGAAACCGAGGGCGATGCTAATTCCGCTTCCACCTGGCCAGGAGTTGCATGAGCGGAGACTGAGTGGTGTTGTGTGCGCTCGCTGCTCCTACGCACTCAATTTTACGCGAAGGTGAGGGTACTGTTTGCCAGCTCTTTCTCCTGAACTTATAATTTAGTA